CCCCCCCCCAATTTTGGGAAAGCCTCAGGTAAGTACAGTCTTTTAATGCTAAGGCACGCACAGGTTTCGGGTCTATCCAGCGCCCCTTGTAACTTGTAGCATCGAAGGTTCTGATGTTGGGGGCTTGAGCGCTGAGGCTTTCATTTACTTGACAAGATCTGGGTGGTTGTCAAATTTATTGGCCCTTTTTGGATCCCTATCATAATACGGCTCCTAATGTTTAGGGTACTGTACCTAAAAAGGGACCACAATTTTGACAGACACACATCTGAGCTTCAAAGGTTGCTTGCTCAGGCCCGAGCTCAGTAAGATTCGGGTTACAAGTCCTTGATTACCCTGCTGGGAGGAGAGCAACCCAACCCGGCGACCATATGAGCTATAGTCTAAACTCTTGGTATCCCCCTTAATAACCCCTATAGTGGTCCCCTATATAATCCCCCTTACAACCCCCTTTAAGGAGTTTAGACTATGACTCATATGGGCCAGAATATGGCTGAAGCCGCGCCTTTGAGCTACGGTCAATACCGCTTCTGTAATTGAAAGGCATGGCCTGCTGTTGGGAAACTTGGGATGATGCTAGGGTTTAGGGTTTAGGGATGCTAAATGATTAAAGGAGGCTCACATGCTCTCTTGATATTCCCTCTGCGGTCATAAGTAGTTCGCATATATTGAGTTGCTCTATCGCACAGTGCGGGCATCCTCAATCCTCAACACTAAACTGGCAGTCTAGGGTAGGTTTGGGGCCCTATTGAAATTGAATTCTTATAGCTTTATAAGGATTATTCAGGAATATGAGAAATTTTCATTTGCAGACCTACCCCTGCTTTGTAGATCTGCAAGGAAGTCAGCGAGTCCTTCGCCTTCTCTGCGAGAGCCTCAAGTCTTCAGCCAAGGAAATCATGCACATCATCAATCAACTTACCGGGGTTAGCGGCATGCGGAATATTTATTATGTAGGGATGGGGATTATATTCCTGGCTTTCCCTACTAACCACCGGTAAGGGGACTGCATCTTGATTTAGGTGTTCGACGTTAATGCTACGGGTTTTGAGAACACAAAGGCTGTTCAACGACCGTAGAAGCTTCTATTGGGAATAGACCAAGCAAGCAAATGCTGACACCACTTGACGGACCACGATACCTGGTAAAAGCAAGACGTGGTAATTATTGTGAGTTTTGCAAGCCCAAATGAACGACAGCCCATTCGCGGTCAACAAGAACTCTGATTGCTGGGGCGCGGTCGCGACGGTCGTTTGAAAATCCTTCCAACATGCTGTCCAGCAAACGCAACCTAAGAACCTACGCGCCCCTGTGATGAGCAACATGTTCCACTCGAACGGAGTCTTTCCTGCCAGATTGCTTCGTGCAAGCCTGCACCAAGTCTGGATCTTGCTGGATAATAGTCCACATAACATGAGCTGAAAGCAAGTCCTTCAGCTGGCATCTGCGCATAGTTGCCGTTGATATCCCTGCCAAGCTCGGTTCGCTGGATGGCACTTAAGGCTGATACAGTACCACCTGGACTGGGTTGCTGTTAAGGAACTTAAATTAAGTTACCATAATGGGTATATACATAGTAAATAACAGGGTTCCCCAATATAGTAACTTAATTTAAGTTCCTTAACAGCAACCCAGTGGAACCAGCATAGATTCTACCAGAATGACGTGCATCCACAAGACAATCTGGCCAACAGCAGCGACCTGATGGTCCAAAGGCAAATCTATAGGCTAATATAGGGTAGTATAGGGTAGTATATTGGGGTAATATTGGGGTAATATTGGGGATGTATTGGGGTTATATTGGGGTAATTTTGGGGATAATTGAAAAGAAAATGGATACTGCTAGCTTTGGCAAATTCTGTATCGATGGTATCAGATCCAGCAGCTGCCAGCCAAGCTTGTCAGGAGGGCCCGTAGACATCCTGGTGCACGAAGCCTGCTCAAGGCTACGAAATTATCGGGCCACTGCCTTTCTGCCACATGGGGAGGCTCCGCCGGTCATGGCGGCCGCAAATCAACTCGTGCGGTAGTTTGTATCTGAGGTGTTTGTGCTGCAACCACAGTGTGATGCCAGAATCATACTGTGCAAGAATTGGGAAGACCATCACCTTGCCTTACAATCCCCATGAACTCTCATGTGGTATCCCCTCACGTCCTGTCTGACTCTTCAGGTCTCACTCAAAAACCCTGAGAGCTGATACCACGTAGGCGGCCTTGTGACTGCAAATTCAGCCATGGTGCGGAGACCTTGGACTTGCAAGCGACGCGCCTACGCCCCTGTTGGGCGGATTGCTATGCGAAACTTCTACAAGGATTTACGCCCATGTTGTGGACTACGAGCTCATTAAGAACAGTACCAACACTACCAGTGGTTTTCAGGTGTCATAGTGGTGAGGGGTTGGTAGCGCGCATCGTTCGTGAGTGCCGGACCCCGCTTGGATGGCGATCCCTGTAGCTGTCGTCACGTTTGGACTTGCGAGTGTCAAAAGTGCCCCTGGCGGTGGCGAACCTCATAGCTGTCGCTTTTGGAGCCTGGTCTTCTGCTCGGGTGCGAGAAGTGTCAACAGGCACAGGGATGGGGCCTCTGGGGTCGCGATGGGAGTGGAGAGGAAAGTGGAAAGGAGAGGAGTAGCGTAGAGAGCTTTGAGGGGAGGAGCACAGGGGAGTGGAGGAGTGGAGAGAGATAGAGAGAGCAGAAAGGGGATAGAAGAGGGTAGATGAAAGGAGAGAGAACAGAGGGAGGAGAGAGATAAGAAAGGTGGGCGTGGAGACTGGAGAGGGCAAAAGGACTGGAAAGGAAAGTGAAGGAGAGGAGTGAAGGGGAGTGGAGTTCAGTGGAGAGGCGAGGCGAGGCGAGAGGAGAGTTGAGAGGAGAGTAGTGGGGAGTGGAGGGTGAAGAGAGTAGAGAGGAGAGTGGAGAGAGGAGGAAAGAGAGAGGAGAAAGAGGAGAGAGTAGAGAGGAGAGTGGAGAGAGGAGGAAAGAGAGAGGAGAAAGAGGAGAGAGTAGAGAGGGCAGCCCCTGATCAGTTGGGGAGCCCCGAATATAAGTTCTGCGGATTGTGTTGCGCGTGGCGCGAATTATCTTCGACACGTACGTGTGTTGTGTTTGCAGTCAGGTTCGCGGCTCCTATCTGGGTACCCTTGAAGCTGCGTCACGTGGTGCTTATTATCATGCTGGAGCGGGGTCAACCTTGCAAATCTAACGGTTGATCCATCCACAACTGCACTGATCTTTAGGAACCTTCAAGGTCGATCTACCTTCTTCTACTATGGGCTTAGGCCCCGTTTGGACTGTGCCCCAAGCCCTCGAGTCTGGTCGTCCATCCAGGGGGTGTATCCATCTCTCTGTCTCCTTCTCCGGGCTCTAATGGGCCCTACGACCTCCCGCAGGCACAGTCTCTGTACCTCTCTCGCTCTCGTTCCCTCTCCCTGCGAGCAACATGCCAATGTGCGTGTTTTGCCAGCAGCCCCTTTAGGACTTCTGCTATAGGTGAAACTCACGGAATGACCTTACCAATTTATGGTAATGTCACAGGTACTGTCTTCACGTCAGAAAGCACTGGTCTTGTAATGGTACCAAGACTAGGCAGGAAATGTCGGAAGAGAACGTAGAAAGGTTTTGGGTTGGCACGACCAGTCTTCAAAAAGCTGCCATGTGAGCCATAATCTAAACTCATCTGAACTCCTAGTATCCCCCTTGATAACCCGTATGAGAGTCCCCTATATTATCCCCTATATAACCCCCGTTAAGGAGTTTAGACTCTAGCTCATGTTGGGTGTAGCCAGGTGTTGCTGGATATAGTCGCCACAGGCGAAGACCACAAGGATTCTTCTTCTTGGCTTCTGCAATTCCGTTAGCTAAATCTTGGATGATCATTCACCTGGCGTCGTTCCCAACTTTAAAAGCCATAGATCTAAAAATTGACAGCAGATTCAGAATTATTAAATGCTAAACATTACATCTGACTGGGGCTGAGCACAAGCCAATTTGGAAGATGGCTTCGTGCATACGCCGAAGGCCGCAACCGCGGCTTTGCCCTTTAGAGCAAGAAAGGCGCACAGGAAAGCAAAGCACGCCCATCCAGTGGACGCCCAAAGACTGGACTCGGTGGCCCAATAGGTGGCCTCCATTCCGAGGGTATAGCATGCTGACACGCACATGACAATTAGCATCGACTGCCCGAAATCCAGGGCTGCAGAGCCTGCGCGGCAGCGGGGAGCTGCAAAATGGTAGCACAGGTTGCGGAGGTTCACCAGTCCAAATGTTGTCCAAGCCAGATCAAAGCCCAGCAGTGTCCCAATCACGTAGCGAAGAATGGCCTCTCCTGGGGCTCCACCCTTTAACAGAGATACCGCAAACTCCAAGCTCAAACTCACAGGCACAGCCAAGATGATCAAGAAGTAGCCGAGAGGGCAGTCCCCAAACCTTGGCTGGAAAAAAACAACCTATTCGCGGAGCCAGTGCTCTCATGCAAAGCACCCGGCCATCTGCAAGTAGATCAGAATTGCTGGTTAGGTCTTACGGCTGCAGTGACTGAACTTACAAAGCTCCGTCTTGACACAAACAAGGTGACGACGCAGAAGCCGCAAGCTCCTCGTGAAGCGGTCCGCGGACATACTGAGTGAAGGCCTCCTCGCTGTCGTACCAGTCGAGAATAGCTGTGTAGATGAACTGGCCTCGGATTTGCCCGCTAGACTGCTGTCAATGCACAGTTATGTCGAATTTTGTTATTTCAGACACGGCCTGAAACCCATACAACCTACAGACCTGATGCTGGTGGAGGCGGAGAGTCGATCAAACTCCAGACTGCATCCTGCGGAATTCAGATCAAAATGTTGCAAACCATTCAGCAGCTGCGCGCCCTCGAGGAAGCTACGGCGCAATGCGTGCACCCCAATGCCACAAGGAAAGTAAGCAAACATGTAGGAGAGAAATGTGGACACCAGGCTAGCTTTTGTTGCTATCAAGAACCAGTGGAGACTTGCCATGCCGAAGCTCATGACAAGCACTACGAGGACGGCCCGCTCCAGAAACAAAGGCGTCCATAGAATCTTCCCTTCCGGATTGGCTTTGCGAAAGGCAGCAATTTCAAAAATGCACCATAAGCGGGACCTCAGTCAAGACCAAGCATGAATCCCTTGCTTTTAGTGACTGGTGGCATGACCACGGTGAATGTGCCAACGCAATATGCAACAAGTTGTGGATGTGACTGAATCAGACTAATTGAGGCTTGGACAGGTATGGCGGGCTCCATAGCACCTGCATTTGCTTAGACATCCGGAGACATCCAGCCAGACCATAGATTCCACGCTCCATCAGCTCCGCGTCGGTCTGGTGGATGCTGAATACGTCCACGAACACCGTTTCAGAGTATGTCGGGAAGTATGGCGCAAGAACTATCCCTAGCAGCAGCGCCAAAAAACCGCACAGCAGAATCCATGGTCCAAAAGGGTATTCCTGGAGATGGCCAGTTATCGTTGTTGTATTTGTCCACGGCATTGGCATAATGTCGTACATGCAGAGGGCCATAGCCAGGACAGTTGCGGCTACAAAGAAAATCAATGGAACCGGCCAGCCTCGCTGTAGCGTGAGGGACAATGCCTTTAGCCTCCCTGGCGTCAACCATGTATGTGACAGAAATGTGTCGAAACCTTGTACTGGTGTAGAATACGTCCACAGAGCCGCGCGATCCCGAAGATTGAGATGGCCTGGAGGCTTCAACCAGATCTTTCCACAATGAAAAAGGGTTCTGCGAAGATCCGCACCTCGCAAGATCTCCATATCAATCTCCAAGTGCTTCAACTTTTTCAGTCGACTTACTCTGCTAGGTGGTTTTCGTGCGGCCATAGACTCAGTCATTTCGGTACTGCCTAACTGCCCCACTTGTGGATACTCAGATGAATTGGAGGGCGAGAGGTCTGGATACGTGGAGATGTCCCCTGCTGTGTCTGCACTCACCTCCTCTGCAGCCACAGCCTTGGCCTCTCCTTCCCTGCAGCATGGCCTATTGCCCATTTTCTTGCGAGACAGGCTGAAAAATGCAAGTCGCACGAGCTTGTCTCTAGAGCCAGACCTGCAGTTTGCGGCATCGTCACTACTGACTCTGAAGCCCTGTCCTTGGCTGTGCAACCCCACAATGACAGTGGCCTTGGATTGCAGAAGTGCTATCCTTAAGCAGTAGGAGCCTCAGAACCAAATGATTGTCCAGCCCATTTACACTAGACTTACTTGCACAAATCTTCCAAGAACCAAGGCGAAGTCGAATCCTAACACTTGAGGTAGCATGCTGGGATTCCGGAAACTCGGAGCCTCAGGATGCACAGACTCTTTATGGTTGGTTGTCGCATTGTTGCAAGGCTCAAGCCCGGAGTGAGGGCTTACCTTGTAAACTGCTTTTTCAGAAACTTGCAGCAAGAGGATTGAGGCGATGACCGCCTCAATGCCGGAAGGGTCCAGGTGTCCTGTCAGAAGCTTGGCATGTCCTCTTTGCTACTCTGTCAGCATGATTCTTAAGGATTCTTTGAGCACTAAGTGTTTCAAACCAGGATCACATGCACGAACACATAGTTCCCACTAAGCGGTGATCCCAGCCCACAGGCTACAGTCAGATTTGGCATGGTCAGCCATTTGTCACGTACTGGCGCCGGGGTTAACTAACACACACACACACATCACTCAGTTAGAATACACATCATCTACTACTGTGGACGCTGGCATTGGGAAGATTTCATATCAGCAGGATTTTTACACATCAGAAAGTGGTAATCCCCATGTACACGCTGATTCCAGGGCAACCTGACGTAAGGGTGGGTTTTCGCGTTCTGCTGCGGACGCTGGGTATAAGAACATCACAAGATCTAAGTCTTAGATTTCGTGTGATTCCCCATGCAGAGGCTGGTGTTACACAAGCCCCAACATGGGAGGAGGAGCTGCCATTTCCCGATTAATGCGTTGCCGCCCGAGACGGTTCTCAATACTGGAAACGATTGAGCCATTTCGTAAACAATCAACGTAAGGAAGGGTGGCCTTCCTTGAGTTGCAAAGAACTGCATGGATGTGACAATGCCTCACATCTAGTCTTTCCGGGAGTCAGACGCAGCATGCAACATACGCGATACACTACAAACATGCCGCATCATGAGCTGAAACCCTATGGACGCTGTACAAACAGTAATTGCAAGAATTGCTTCCCCCAGTGTGGAAGCTGCTCGATTGGTAAAGAATAAGAAGCCCATCCGATGTGAGATAACCCGACCCAGAGCTTGAGAGGCGTCACACACGGGACGGTGATCTGGATGGGAGTGGCTGTTTGCTTGTGCAGCTGGGCGCTCTATGAAGTTGCTGTGCTACGGTGAGGATGTGTCCTTTGTGGTCGATGTAGCCACCTGTTTTTAAGTTGCTTAGAAATGCCCGTTTCTTCCACCCACCATCACCCACCGTCAGCTCGTACGTTGCTTCAAATGTAATGAATGTAATGATAACGTTGCAAAAGAGAATCAGCACCCTGGGTAAGTATGACCACTGTCGATTCTCTTATACGGCTGACCTCCAGATCACAACATCCACAACAAGGATGCACGAACCCTAAATCCTGACGCCAGCATTTTGAGACCCACCCCTCCAAACTCTGGTGCCTTGTCCTTGCTGGATTACCCAAGGCATGGTGGTCTGGCGTTGAGACGCATCCCCCCTTGCAAGTCCAAGACTGTGTGGGAGATCGAATATGGATTGTGTGAGGGCAGGTGGTGATTCTTTGACGTCCGCTGAATACTGGCTGTATGATTTCGAGATATGCAGCATTGCCCCGATCCTCAAGATGACCTTGCTGGTTCGGAACTGGAGTTTTGTGCGTGATCCTTCGACTTGCAGCGACCTCAATCCACTGACATCCTTGCAATGTGTCAGTATCTCGGAAGGCTTGAAGTTTCAAGGCTTGAAGACTTTTCTGGGCACTGAAGCCCTACGACCAGTTGACCTTCCATTGACCTCAAGGCCTGAGCTACGTATGCGCAGTGGTAAGATCATAATCAAGAACCAGACTCTATATGCATGTGTACATACAGGGCATGGACAACACTGGCTGGCCAAGACTTGGAATTGAGTGCTGCTTTCCAAGCCCCTTCAGAGTTCTGTAGAACCGTTCCCTCGCATCCAGAACCCCAATATATAATTTGAGCCAAACTTAGTGAAAAGGCGGTGCTCTCTGCGTAAACCGTACCTTCTGCAATGCTCGGGCTCCCACCGCAAGACATCCTCGCCTGACGTGGCCCGTACGGCAGACCCTGTGATGGTATGAAATACATGAAATACAAGGCCATCATGATTTGTGTATTGCCGTGCAGCAGCCTTCACAATTGAATTAACACCAGCAAAGGTATGTAAACCGAGTCACAGGTCGATTTGGCAATCCCGATGAGAAATGCTTCCGTAAGGCTCGGGCATGATTCCAGTGGAAACTGCCATGAGAATGCTACTGTCACCGCTAGCCCCACCACCACTGCTGCCATCACTGACGCGTGCTCTGACGCCAGTCACTGAACGAAAACAATGAGAGCTGATTTGCAAGTTGCAACAAAGCCACCCAAGAACACACGTGTAACAGCAGTTCTGCTGCGGCTGTCACCGAGGCTCTTACCGTAAAGAGAACGAATGGCAGCCATAGCCGGGTACCTCAGGCAGTTACTGTGCGCATCATCACGCAAACACGCTTGCTAGCATTATCATCCCCTCATTCCTCATCCGCGTCCGCCGTGTCTTTTGCCTTGCCTTGATTTGCTTTGCTTTGCTCAGGGGAGTGGCGCCGAAGCACAGGCCCGCAGGCTTCCCCATTGTCGATTGTTCTGAACGTTTCGGTGACACCTGGTTCCCTGCTATGCGAGTGTCTCAATGTAAAGCAAAGTAGGTGATAAACCGCCTCCCAAACCCGTGTCTCTCTCTCTCTCTCTCCCTCTCCGTCCGTCTCTGCCGGCATGCACAAGCCATGTACCTCCATCTGCTACGATGCACCGGATCCACGACAGCATAGTTGCGTCCACACTTTGGACTGCACGAAGATTTTGGGTTTTTGCATGTTGTTCAGTGCTTTTTGCTCTCTCAGAATCCTGCCGTGCTGGCGATCCTTTGCCCGCAGGGCGACACTACCTTCCCAGAACGATACTGACCTTCCCCACTTGTTGATGGAAGAAACCCTGCATGTCCCAAGTACCCTAGATCCTGAGAATTATGGTCGCCCATGGGCGCGAGGCAGTGCAAGGTTTCCTTTTGTTAGGAACAGGAGCTGGACTCTAACTGTTTAGGCTCCACAGCATGATCCGCGTTGAACAGCTCAGCGGAGCAGTCTTGCTCGCGAACCCGAGAAAGACGTGTCCGTCCAACATATTTAGAATGCTGGTCTGGTGTCAGGAAACCTTATCCGCATCAAGAACTGTCAAATGTTCTCCGAGCTGCTGGTGCCTGCGGCTTCTCGACGCTTCACTTAAAAGGCGATTGAAAATCTGTCGAAACGGCTGCAGATCACAAAGAAAGCGGGATCTGCAAGTTGCGAACAGTCCTCGTCTGCGTGTGTCAAACTGCTCATGCGCTGTCCTGCTGGTACTTGAATGCATATCTTTAAGAGACCCCCAGGTCAACAGCCGACTTCGTAATCAAATATCGGCAGCTCAAACAACTTTTTAGCCAGCGTTCGCACACGGTCCCAGATTTCATCCAGTGACTCATGCATGCTACGCCCAGCTGTTCTAAGCAACTTACAGCAGCTCCATGAGCAACTAACATGCTCGTCCCATAATCCAGCAGTCGTATCTAGCCGAGGGCGGGCGCCGTTTTGTCTGAGCTCTAGGATCCGTGAATCAAGGGGTTGCTGATTTTGGAAGCTATGCAACTCACATAGGCGCCTAGCGGACAAGAATTTGGGTATGCGGCGAAGGCGAAGGTGATTCTGCAAGGAATATATAAAGCAACACCATTGCATTGAAGCAGTTCTACACCTGGGAATCCTTCATTACCCCATAGCCTGGACCTCATACTAGGCTCCTACGCAGCGGAAAAAAGAAGCACAAGCTTTCAGTCAGCTGCCACCGCACCTTCAAGCTTCGGCCCTGGGCTATATTCAAAGGCTTCTCAATCAAGCACCCCTAAGAAATTATTACTATTATATATATATATTATTGTGATGACTATCATTCCTGTTAGTATTATTCTTGTTAGAATTCAACCTACCCCACCCCCTAAGAGCATATGTGTTCTGCATATACCTATATCTATATTCTTTTGTTTTGGGAAATCCATGAATAGAAGGAGGAGTCTGTAAAGGGGACGAAAACAATAAGTATGTGTCCCGGTCCAGAGAGAGTGCTGCATTGTGGGCGCATCGGTAGGGCTATCCTGGTCCTATGGTGATCTTGCAAGAATATTGAGGGGACTAGCCTAAACCCTAGACCCTA